GGACCCATCCTGTACTCCTCCCAGTCATTGCCAGTTCTAGGGCAGTGAATCCCGGTAGGCACGACTGTGGGTTTTTTCCAGTGTGGCCTACCATGCTCATGAGAGAGGATTCACCTCGAGATCTGCGTATTTGGCTGATCGGGTGTCCAGTGATTGTCGGGCGGCGTGATCTAGCAAGATTTTCCCTTAAGGAGGCCGGAGGCATGTTTGTCGGTGAGTCATGGCCTGCTTTTAGGGCGGCGGTGTACACTTCCGATGGGTCGATACATAAGCCTCTTCTCCGGTGATCTTCTCTTTCCAGGCAGTTGTGGATCAAGTGCCCGAGTTTTCCACAGAAATAGCACAAATCCATTATCCTCTCGTACTTGAAGCTGGCCCAGATGGATCGTTATGCAATGGGGTATTCGAAACCGATTGGTATGGGTTGGTCCAGCTGTACCTCCACTTTGGCTCTGATGAACTTCAGCCATCCTCTGAAATCAATGTTGGAGCGTTCAATGCAATGGAATTGGGGGAAGATGAACTCCGCGACCGCCTAGATTGCTTCTTCATCTTTGAGAGATTGGGGTAGGTCATGCATTTGAACCCATAGTGTGACTATGGGTATGTCAGCTGATTCCACCTTTTGTTCACCATCCCATTTTTTCAGGGCTATCAAGGTGTTGCTGAGATTCCACGACCTGGCTTCCCAGACCTCATCTCTTTGCTTGATTGATTGGAAGGTGTAGACGAATAGGTTATCAGCTTCTTTTGTTGCTTGGACCTCCCTGTAGGCTCTCCATTTGCTGATTGTGGCGTTCTTTGCCTTGTGCAGGTTGATGCTTGCATCGGTGATCCACTGGCCTAGGAGCATGGCCATTCCGCTTCCTCTCGCATCCACTATAGTTGGCCTTACATTCAGCACTAGGTGGCTTTCCTCTCCCCTCAAATTCATTGTGTTGTGTTCCATGGTGTGGCTGGAATGGGGAAGTTTGGCAGATTTAGATTACTGTTTTTTCTCAGTGTTTGGTTTGGAATGAGGATAGTGGGTTTGATGGAGCTTTCTGTGTGTTTGCTTCTTTATATAGGCTCGATCTTTCTTCAGCTCACTGTTTGTGCTCTTTCTCCTCTCATAGAATGCTCTCTGCCTCACCTGTTCTTTCCTTATCCTTCCTTCTTCCTTTGGGTATGTCAGACTTCCTCTTAATTGCCATTAGTGGTATTCTCTTCATTTACTCCTTCTCTGTTTGCCTTGTTTCCTTCAGTCGTCGTCAGTAGAGATTGTGCCTTGTGTCCCTTGATAGTGTATTTACTCCCTCTGCTCGCACTGGTGTGGGTGATATAAATGTAGATGATTGATGCGCTAGATCTCCAGGTCGCTATCTCAGGTGTTCTCTGGTAGCCCCTGGTTTGGGGATCTTTTGAATATTGGATTTGCTGTTGTTTGTCTTCAATACCTTTACCTTCGTCTTCCTTCCACTCTTTAATGCTTTATGTCTTTGCCGTGAGTGTAGCCCTTCCCTTGCTTTCATTGACTGGTAGTACCTCTGGTGGTTTGGGCGGCAAAGTTATGGCCTCATTGAGGTCTTTCTCCCCGTTGACACTACTCTTATAGGCTGATGTAGCGGCGGTGAATAGTAGCTCTTCATGATTTTATATCTGCTCATTTACTTCGTGGTGATCTTCCTTGATTTTTTTGTTGTAGTTGCAGTCTTCAATTGGGATTTGATTGATGGGTCCGTAGACATTAGCTCTAGGGGAGCTAAGATGAACAAACTTGATGGCTCCGCAGGCGTCAGCTGTAGAGCCTCTCCGGTGAGAGACAGAAGGAGTATTTAGAGATAGAGAGAGGCATGCAGATAGATGACGTGTGGCTGATCCTGAATTCTGATACTAAACTCCAGTCTGTTTTAAGCGTGATTGGTGGGAGTGATTCGCCTTTCTTGCCATTCTTCCCCCTTTTTCTCCTTCTTTCTTCAAAATAAAACCTCCCCATTTACTTAGCTTTAACCCGCCGGAAACCCTCATACAGAAAAAGGGGCGATAACAGCCAGAAAAGGGGGCGATCCTTTTTGCACGGTGGAACAGATGGTGGAGAACGTCGTCGTTGTCGACATGGAGGAGCTGGACAGCGACGCCAATCTCGACAACATGACAAACACGGACAACGACAATGATGGCTTGAAGGAGGAGCATATAAAAAAAGATGACGATTTTGTGCCCGTGAATGATGAGCAACTCAAAGACGATGCAAATGTCCCTAAGAATCTCACCGACGACAACAATCTCAGTGAGGATTCACGACGTTATGACTTACGATTGACTGGTAGTTTTTCTAGTGGTACACGTGATAGTGTAAGTGATAGTACCAGTAGTGGGGTACGTGTACCAGTCGACCGGTAGTCTTACCACTCGACTAGTACCTGTACCAATGCAATGGTAGTTGTACCACTAGACTGGTTTGGTATCACTGGACTGGTAATATGCTTGTCTTGTGGCCGACGACAACAATCTCGGTAATTTACTCACGAAATTACGACTTTTGTTGTAGTGGTAGCTTTTTTGTACTACACAACTGGTATTTGGTAGCGGTATCCCAATAGCGTATACTTGGAGCTCAATATGAAATAGTCCAGTCCCAGTGGTACGTCTACCACTAGAGTGGTACATGTAGCAGGGAGTGGTACTGGTACTACTCGACTGGTACATGGGTCACTGGGACTGATTGCAATCTAATGCCTCTTTGGTAGTGGTAGTCCAGTCCAATGGTAGTGATATGTGCGTAATGATAGTGTTTGTTGAGTGGTACCCGTAATGCTACAAATCAGGGGTAGCGTTGTATTGTACTGATAGTTCATTTTTAGTGGTAGTAATTAAGTGGTACAAGTGCCCTAGTGGCAGTAATATGTCACTCGATTGGTACACATACTGTTATCACTGCGGTGGTAGCGTTGTTGTATGGATAGTGATAGTCCATTATTAGTGGAAGTAATATGCCTGTCGTGCGGTAGTATTATACCAACGTGATTTTTTACGCGTCTTCTTGTTAAATACAGGTGTGGTACCTGTAGTCCCAACTTATGGTTCAACATGGAAGCACTTGTGGTTCTATAATCAAGATGATGAACCAGCTTCTAGAGGGAAGAAATTAAAGCAGAGGAAGGACGCAATTAGAATTAAGAAAAGACTGACGCCTATAGGGGAATACGCCAATGAAGCAAGCAGTCAAATAATTTAATAATGAGCTCAAGAGGAAGATAGCAAAACATAAATAAAAAAATTTGCTCGTTTGTTTCATCAATAGTTCTTATGAATGTTTATCGTATGTGCCAAACTATATCAAAACATAGTTAATTTGGTTGTGTTTGATGGATGTTACTTTCTACCACTGAACTAGTATGAGTGTGCAAATGTATTAGTTTTTAGTTTGATGGGATTTTTTTCGTTATTTCATGGCCTAAGTTCATATAAGTTGTTAGATTGGAGTACAAACTTCATGATACCTGTACCACTATGAACATCAAAGTAAAGAACTAATTCCATTGTTGTAAAGTAGGTGACATTGGATTCGTACGCGTACCATTGGAGTGGTATGTCTACCATTGAAGTGGTACATGTAGACTATAGTGGTACTTGTACCACTTGATTGGTACGTGTACCATTCGACTAATATTTGGTAATGGTACTCCCGTCGGAGTGGTACGTGGACCATTGTACATGTACCACTCGACTGGTACGTGTACCATTATGTACTGATAGAAGCTACCAGTCCAAACTATTACCACTGCTAGTGTCAATCTGTCTGATAGAAGCTATTTGGTAAAGAATGACACCGATATACAAAATACTACAACTTTTTGTTTCTTCTTCTTACTCTTCTTCTCACAGGGACTCTTCATTCCCCATCTCGTTTTCGTGTCTTACTAGGGTCTAAACCAGAATCGGATTACTCCCCTTCACGGATGACAACGTGTCGAGATTGATAGGTAGCAGGTTGTTTTCCTCTAGGTTTTCCTGCCGGTAGTTCCTCTGTCATCGGCACATAGGCTGGAATCTTTGTTCTCGCCATTCCAGGTACCAAAATAAACAAAATACATTTTTTCACATATTGATTTAAATCTTCAAAACCAACTTTATGAATCAATCAAAAGAGCTAGAATCATTAGTGGTACTTGTACAGGTACAAACAAGTGGTACTGGTACCCGAATCACTAGTTCTCTGGTAAATGTACCACTAGTGTAATTGGTACCACTACCACTATAACATACCACTATCACAATGATACCAATTGAAAGTACGACTGCATCATACAAACAAACAAGCTACACAAGACAGACAGGGTCGCATGCTTCGAATCCAACGTGGCATTCGGAAATTAAAAACTTCTGGGATACAGAAACCTCACATGTTCTGTTTTCAACCGTCGTAGCAAGGGTCGACGACGGCAGTTTGTTCGGCGATGCACTAAAAGAACAAGTAAATCGAAATGTGGGTTAAACAGCACGAAGGTCGGTGGGTGACGACCAGTTGAACCAAGTAAATGAAATTTCAACCGAGCATAATTCCAAACCACCAGAATCAGAAAGAAAGGAGTGGAGGAAATAGAGCCAGCCGACTTACCTCTACTCTCAACGCACAAGCCTTCAACCCTAGCGGAGAAACAACGCGAGATGATTCTGGGGAAGGGTAACCACAGACAACGAAGTTTGTTGTATGATCTCTCTCTATGAAATTTTGGCTCAAAATTTGTTCAAGAATTCCCAATTACTTTCAAAAGAAAAAAGTCTAATTGGTTGGAAATGAAAGGGGAATCATATAGGAAAGGTACCCCCGCCTCATTCCCGGAAATAGCCCTCGCTAATATGGTCCATCAGATTATCTTAGTGTCCTTTTAATCGCACTTAAGGGCTGTGATGAATTCTTTCAAGTCTACAAAACCGACCATATTTGACATCTGATCCCTCTCGAAGAACACGCAACCGGGAAAAAAAAAAGGCGAAGAAAAGACAGGAAAAAGGAAATGCACAGCGTCTTCTCCGCCGACGATTTCACCGACCCCTTCTGGCAGGCTACGCCGCCGGCGCCAGCAATCAACAGAAACCAATCCGAGTGGGACCTGGAGAGGTTCCTTCAGGAATTCCCTTCCTCCGGTTCCTCCTCCGCCAGCAACAGCACGACCACAGTGCCGTCGCAATCGCCGCCAGCGACGAAGCCGGGGAATTGCAACAGCGATGTGATGGAGATCAGGCAGCAGCCCCCACAGCTTCATCCTCATGCTCATCATCCTCCTTCCCAACCTCATCAATTCCCTCAACCACTGGATCACGCTCCCATGGCTACGATCGATACGGAAGAGTACCGGGTTTTTCTCAAGTCCCAGCTTGATCTGGCGTGCGCCGCCGTGGCTATGACCAGGGTATACTTGCGCGTTGATTTGTGTTATTTTTTTTTTTTATGAACTTTTTGGAATTGTTGGACTTTAGGGATCTCGTGTGTTTGATTGGGGGGAGATTTTGGGATGTTTGATTGCAGACAACGGCTGTGAAGCCTCCTGATTTTTCTCCTTTGCCTGAGAATCAAGTTCCAGTTACATCTGCTAACAATTTCCACTTGGGATCACAACTTCCAGGTCAGTACTAATCTGCCTAGGTTTTCGAATGTCATTTTGAAGAATTGAATCATAGAAACCCATGTTGCTTAGCTAAAGGAATTAGCTTGTAGGTGGTAGTAAGGGATATGATATGAACTTCAGTTCCTCACTGTCTTCAATTAGTTTCTTCATTCAATGCTAAGTTCACAGGTGTTTCTAATTGCTTTCTTGATGGTGTTCATGGTCAGAATAATGGCTTGCGAAGTTGCGGGTCGTTATGATGATATCTCCAGCGAGTATTTACCGATCGTCTGATTTGTGCAAGAGATGTCTAATTGCTTTCTGGATGTCATCTCTCTGTGCTATTTCCCTATCCCTTAATCCTGAACCTGTGATTGGCATTTATCTATATTTAGCTTAAGAGTGTTGACTTGTTGGGTCAGTACCTGGTGGACAGAGTGGCTCTTGATGTTATGGTTTATCAATTACTTTTGTGTGTGGTTTACGAGTGACTTGCATGCTTGGGTTAATGTACTATAATCATTGCTTGGGCTGTTCATTCGTGTTCTTCAACTGGATCTTAATAGACTATTTATTTTTATTGTAGATGATGTTAATCCACAGGTTAAAATCAAGGGTGAGTTGACCTCCCATGATCCCTGCTCAAATCCTTTTGTTTGTTATAGTTGTTTCAAATTAACCACTGATTTATGGTTTATATTCCTGGGCTCATCCAACTGACATTTTAGCTTTTTTACCCATATCCTTGGCATGTGGCAGGTGCATGTTTGAGTAAGCCAATTGCACAGAGTGAGGCTGACCGTGGGTCACCTGGAATTCCGTCATTACCCACGGTGCAAAAGAAACAAGAAGTGCTAACTAGGCAAACAACTAGTGGCTCATCAAGGGATGATTCAGATGACGATGATCTTGAAGGGGACACTGGAACCAATGGAGGTCCTACTGACGTGAAGCGTAAAAGGAGGTATTGAAAATGGTTCTTTCTGGTTTCCATTGATCTTCAATTTCTGTGTGCTTCTGAAGATTATTGCCCTTTTCTGTTTCATAATTTCCATGTTGTTGCCACGTGTTTTTTTTACTACAGTGGTTGTCTCGTTAAGTTTTATGTTTTGACTGTAATGTCTCTAATGATGGATGGTAATTATGGGAATTGTATGATCTTTGCTGAATAATGTTGTCAATTAGCCTGTCTTTAAAGAATTGGATAACACAGCAAACGGTTTGTTTTGGTCATTTGCTTATCAACTTTTCTGCTTACATCCATTACAACTAGGCCAATGTCTTGAGCTAATTTGCTCTGAAAATTTATCCTGCTTTTCATATCTGATTTACTGTCCCTTAACTGCCTCAAACCTATCAAAACTCGCATTGATTGAAAGTTGACACTTTATACATTTTAGTGTTGTTCTTTTGCCATTATTATGTACATGTTTTGATCTGTTTGCTGATGAATACTCTTAGGATGCAGTCGAACCGAGAATCAGCTAGACGCTCTCGAAGAAGAAAACAAGAGCAACTCAATGAACTTGAAACACAGGTGCGTTTGTAATGCAAATACCGTGTTTACGGTATCTCTTGTATCTTCGTAACCGTGAGTTAAATAGTATGTCCCATTGCGATAGGTTGGTCACCTCAGGGATGAACGTACTACGCTTTTGTCGAGACTCACTGATGTGAATCACAAGTCCGATGAAGCTTCTGTTGACAACAGAGTCTTGAAGGCTAATATTGAAACATTAAGGGCAAAGGTATGATTAAGTTGCTTCGCCATACTTCATGTACTCTTTCCCAAGGGCCTTTCATAGACAAGTAATCGCAATCCAACCATTAAGTGATAATCATGTTTAGACATGGAATTATGATCGGACACTGAAAACGACTGTGCTGATGGGAATATTCATAAGGTAACAATGTAGTGATTATATGTGAACTTTACAGGTGAAGATGGCTGAAGAACAGGTGAAGCGGGTGACAGGTTTGAACCCATTGCTCCTGGCAAGGTCTAACGTTGTAGTACCTAACATGGGGATGCACCAATACCCTGGCGGCATCCAGGCAAACATGGATGCAAACGAGTCCTTTCACCGACCACTTCCAAATATGACTCCAGCTCCACATCTGCAACCAATAAACAACAGCGGCTTTGGCAACAAATACATGGGTTCCATAGCCGGTTCTGGTTCCCATGCTCTTAATGGAATGACTAATATTAGTGGAAATGGAATGAACTCTAGTATGATGCCACACATGCAGAAGCATATTGGTCCAGGTATCGAGCAACGACCAGCCTTGCCTGCGGCAAACACCTCTGGACATCCCCATCTTGGAGGAGTGGCCAAAGTTGACAAAAAGAAATGAAGGATGCTGATGACGTTTTGCTGTGAAATAGTTGGGACTTGGGAGGGACGGGTGGCATATGTTCTTAGGGCTTGCAGGTATCGAATTTTAAATTAATCTTATATGCAGTGGCTGTTGTGTATCATAGACCTGCTCAAGTACCCACACAATGGCGATGATTGTTCTCTATGGTCACTTTCTCATGTCTTATTCTGCTGGTATACTTGATTCATTTTAAGATAATGCATCGGTTTCCCTTCAGACAGCTCGGTCCTACGTGGAAAGTTACTTGTGGAAAAAGGTAGGGCTACCATAAAGCTCCAAGTTGAATATCAATCATGTATCCCTAATCTCTATAGCATCAGAATCAACATATTTTTCTTACCCCAGTTTTGTTCCTTTTCGAAAAGCATATTCTTCAAAGTAATGTTGACGAGTAGTGTTCTCTGTAGAAACAAAATATGGGGGAAGCAAATTAGATTCATTGGGCTCTAGAGGGATTTGGTGTTTCTTATATTTTACAAGAGATGCTTACTTATAAATCAGATCACATTAGAGCTCGCCAAGAAATTCTTGGTAAAGGCAATAATACTGCATTGTTGCGCTTGAGATTATATGGGGTATACTGTATACAAACAACAATACTGCATTGTTTACTGCTGCTGAATCTTGGCACCTGATTGGAGAACGGATTGAACTGTGCTGGAAATGGGATTCCAACCTGAAATACTGTTCCAAGACAGTATTAGCAACAAAAAGGGACACGGAGATAGCCATTTGAGGCAAAAGAAACAAGAAAAGGACTGTGTGATGCTGATGGTTGATGGGTGAGGCTATCGATCATGCCTGGTTGCCACTTGTAGTAAAACGGTGTCCGGGGAGTGGTATGTGGTGAATTGGCAAACATGCGTCTGAAACAAACACATCGAAGGTCACGTAATATTGTTCCGACTCTACCCTTTTCAACACTGTCTTCACGGGGTTCGATCTGATGCGTCGGACGGCTTGGCACTGTCCAATTTCACGGCCACGGTAGAACGAAAGAAGAGATAGAAAAGGAGAGAGGATATTCGGCGAAATTTTTTAGGAATGGAATAGACGTTTTCAAGGAGGTTAATTGGAGAGAAGTAATTTATTATATATAACGATAGTAAAAAATGGTTTCTGCCGTAAATGGGATTGATTAGTGGGAATTATTTTTATTATTTTATATCAATATTAATATTATCATTTATATTAATTAATCTAGCTAATTCCAGCCTCACCCCATTTATTCACTAAACTAATTTTACCATACCACTAATTTCTCCATGCACCACTAATTGCTTTTTTTATCGACACTAATTGCTCAATATGACAGAGGTGATTAGTTTCCATCGTTTCTACCCCTATAATTAAAAAAATTACCATGATTAGATTAGAACTTTCAAAATTATTGCGTACCTAAATAGCAACTTATGGATAATTCAAAAAATTACCATGATTAGATTATGAATATTAATACTTATTAAATTTGGTTAAATGGTTATACAATAATCTTTTCACAATTACTATTTTCTAGAGCTATCGATGTGAAAAATTATTGTAACTCTTGGTGCTCCACTAAAATGTGGATACGAATATGGTGGAATCAACCGATTCGCGATCGGACGTCCGGGGCAAAAAAGTATGAATAGTGTCAAAACTTTAATCGGCGTTTTTGGGAGTTTTGTGAGTCGTAACGAGCAGTTTCTTGGGCCTACCATGCGTATTTTGACAACACGGACGATTATTGTTAGTGGAAGTAGAGGTGATTTTGTCTCTAAGACAACTAGCTTTTTTACCCGGCCCGTTGGCCGGTGAGTTTAATTTAACATTTATATTAATCAATTTATCTATATGTTTAAACTATTTTGGATCTTCTAAATTTTTTACATTTGCATTCATTTGTGAGTATGCGGTGCGTCTATAAATTAAAAATTCTCAATACTTAGTACATTCACTTATGATGCTTCGATTCACTAATCATAAATCATGTCACAAAGATATATCACGTCCCATATAGAATCCTATGTCAAGATTTGTCAATAACTATATTCAATTTTTTTTGTCTTATACAATATATATCATTCAATGAATCTCGAGTTTGGACGAACTCTCTACCAATGATGTTGCTCAGATGACGACAACTTAGTTAGAATTTTTTTTATAAAGGTACTTCAATATTACATAAATTTGGTCATCCCAATTGAAAATTTATTGTCTTAGTGTACGATCATATTTGTCTATCAAGACACTCAATTTAATATCTTATACAATATGTACCAATTGTTAATTCCTGAAGTTTAATATAGACTCACCCTCAACTCATGGTCATTGTTTAGATGTTGGTTTAGAATCTCGGTCCAAGATACGCATACACTGTCGAGGGTTCTAATCTTAACATGGTCCATTGTTGAATAATTTTCTAACTTATCAAATATGCATTTGCTCAAATTTATTTATCTTTGGTGTTTCTTTTGAGATAAAAATTCCATTACTTATACTAATATCTTCATTTTGTTGGTATAATGCCACATCTATTGTCAATATCTAAGCATGATACTATACTCTGAATAAGAAAATGGTATATGGACCACGAATTAACCGGATTTGTGGGCATGATACTATACCCCAACCCTTAATGAGTGAACCCTAGGTCTTAGTTATCTAAATCATAGAGCTTAACCCCTAAGATTGTGCATGTAATTTGTTGCATAGATTTAGCTACATTAATTTGTTGCATGTAATTTTTTGCTATTTAATACTTGTTTTCGTTGATAATACAAACATTAGAAAGAAATAGTGTTTGATAACCAAAACATAAAATTATATAGTTGATTTTTCAAATTCAATTGATTATTAAATGTTGATTATCTAAACTTTCTTCATTATATTTTGTTTTTAAAAATTTTTATTACTTATCTGTGTGTTTAATTTATTTTTGTATCGAAATATAACCTATATTAAGTTCTAATAAAAATAAAAATAACAATTAATTGATCAGATTTAATCAAATATATTTTTTGAAGCATTACAATATATGTCACTCTCGAAACACAAGTATACTACTGCTACACATATATATCGAAAAATACAATTATTGAATAAAAATATTAAAAGAAAATAGAAATAGCTACATAAATGATCATTAAAATAAAAAGAAAATATTAAGAAAAAGATAGATATAGCTACATTAATTGATCATTAACTAACTTTTTTGTTTGTAAAAAAAGTGTCCACCATGGCACCTTGTAAATTCTCCAAATGCTTATGTGGCAACAAACTACTTTTGAATTGCTATAATATTATGTATAGATGTCGTAGTAGAATTGGATGGGTCGAGGTTGAATGTAGTTATTTTGTTGGAATAAGGAATTAGGGTTTTGGAGGGGTAGAAGGTGTAAACTAGGAAAGAAATGCTTTATTTCTTTTTGCCATCTGTCATCTTGATTTCAATTGTGGTTAAATTCTCTTCTAATTGGTTAAAGTCAAATCTTAATCTCCATAAATTCTAATTAGTCAAGATCAAACCCTACTCTCCATAAACCCTAATTGGTCAAAATCAAACCCTAGCTATATAAATAAATTATGAATAATTATAAATACTGTAAAAATCTCCATTTTATGGGCTTAGTCGTGTTAATTAAAAGAATTTTTTCCTATTGTTAATTAGGAAATTGAAATTAGACGTGGGTTATGGAATAGGAAATGTGAATTAAAGAAATTTTTTCGGATGTCAATTCAGTAAAATGTGGGTGGGATGTTAAATTGAGTATAATTATGAAACCATTGTTAGACGTGGGAGGAAATTTTTTAGGTAGTTAATTAGGAAAATAATCATTAAATTGGGGAGGATATTACGTTCAGTTGTTAAGGAATACAAATTCTATTGATGGCGAGATAAATAAGATTGGTGGCGAGAAATACAAATTAGAGGTTGTTAATTAGGAAGTTTCCTTCCGAAAAATTTTTACTCAAAATAAATTATTTTATTAATGTAAAACTTATAAATTTTTCCATAAAAAACTCATCTATTTAATATTCAACCGCTCAACCAAAATAAAAAAAAATTCTACCAAAACTATATTAACCGAAAAATCAATCTTACCTTAAAAATCTCCCTTTAAATTTTACCATAAAAACTATTCTATTTAATATTCCACAGCTAAAGTCTAAACGAAACAAAAAATCTACCAAAACTAGATCAACGAAAAAGTCAATATTTCCTTAAAACTCTCCCTTTAATTTGCCAAATTATCAGATTTTATAAATATTTTATTTTGACGGGTGATTTTATGAATATCTGAAACAATATAACTACTTAATTACTCAATAAATAATTAACAATTCAAATGTAGACGCCAATTAGACGTGGGTTATGGACATGTTAATTATGGAATTTTTTTCGGATGTCTTAAGTAAATGAAATTAAATGTGGACGCCAATTAGGGGAAGACAAGTTAATTAAGGGAATATTTTATGGTTGTTTATGTAAACTTTTATTTATACCATGAAAAACTCCTTCCTTTTATTTTTGTGAGAAAAAAAACTCCTCTTTAATATTCTACTGAAATATATCAGGGAAATGCAATCTTACCTTAAAATACTCCCTTTAATTTGCCTAATTATCAGATTTTTAAATATTTAAAACAATAAAAATTTTATTCACCGGCGGCCCGTCCGACCCACGAGATCGGACCCCGTCCGACGCGGGAGATCGAACCACGTCCGATGCGAGAGGTCGGACCCTGTCCGATGTGGGAGATCGGACCACGTCCGATGCGAGAGGTCGGACCCCGTCCGAGGCCGGCGGGCGGACCCCGTCCGAACGCCGACGTCGGACCGAAGGTCTCCGTCCATCTCATTCCGAGGTCTTGCTCCCATGGCAATTCCCCCGCCGCAGCCGCCACGCAAAAACAAGAAGATTGAGAGCCGGAAAGCGGAAGAAGATGGTGGAGGGTGAAACGTCGCCGGGAATTGCGGGGAAAAAAGAGGAAGGCGAAGGTGATTGTCGCCGGATTTGAGGAATAGAAAAGAGGAAGGTGAGGTCCCCGGCGGTAGGTTTGGTCCTCCAGAGCGGCGGCAGCAAAACGCGGCCAACAATTCCGGCGTGATATTTTAGTTAGGTTTCAAAGTGTTGAATGGCAAAATTGACTTTTTCTACAAAATTATGGGCGGCAAATAGCGATTCATTATTTTTCACGTCGTTTGAGACAATAGGATTGGTATTACCACCACAAAAATAGTCTGCCAAAAAATCACTTCTTGCTCAGAGAGAGAGAGAGAGGGTCATGTCAGGGGTGGGTTTACGTTTTACTTTTTTTTGCTTCTCCTTCTTTCATTGAAGTTGATCGTGGCTTTTCTCCTACCACATAAAACTTCCTCACATGCGCAGTACCGAGTGAGCACGTCAATCATTTAGTCAAGTCGATGGGTGAAAAGTAGTCAGATGGGTGCTTTCTCTTGGTAAGAGAAATCAAGAGGCATACTCAACCAACCCTCTTATCAATAATATCTTTTATTCCCTCTCTTTCGTCCCTTTTTTTCTCTCTAGGATCTTCCGTTTCTCTTTCTGCTTCTTTGCTTGGTAGTTTTTCTCTCTTAACTCGGTCATTGAGAGCAGAGATCTTAGATTACCCAACCTTGGCTGGTGGCGATTTACATCTCGATATCCTCTCTCTAACGAAGAGGAAGATGTAGAACTGCATATATAAAATCCTGCAATTACAGGTATGTTTATTTTCCTCTTATACTTTTCTTGAATTGATTTATGCTATCTCTGTCTGCCTCGCAAGTTTCTTTCTGATCTTTTATTAGAGTATATATATTTATATTCTATCTTTGGGTTTCCTTGTAGGGATTTGATTTCGGAGGATGAAGTGTTCGGTTGGAGGCCGTAAACGACGAAGGGGTGGAAGGGATTGGAAGAAAAACTAGATCCAGATATGAGTAGGGGGTCGATCCCTATTTGCATCCACCAAAATGGAGAACAACTCAATGATTATGAGAGGAGAAAGAAGCCACCTGGTCCTGAACGTGAGGCCAACAATTGTAGGTGCTAGAGGAAGCGGAATGGCCATGTTGCTGGGGAAATGGGTTAGAGACACGAGCATCAACCTACACAAAGCAAAGAATGCAACCATCGGCAAATGGAGAGCCTATGGGGATGTCCAAACAACCAAGGAGGCAGAGAATTTATTCGTCTACACCTTCCAATCCCAAAAGCAACGAGATGCAGTCTGGGAGGCTAGGCCATGGAATCTCAGCAACACCCTTATAGCACTGAAGAAATGGGATGGAGAGCAAAAGGAGGAAGTAGAGGACATTACAACAATAACACTCTGGGTGCAAATGCACGACCTTCCTCAGTCCCTCAAAGACAAAGAAGCTATTCAAGCCCTAGCGGAGTACATTTTCCCCCACTTCCACTGCATAGACCAGTCCAATTTTGACTTCAGAGGGTGGCTCAAATTCAACAGAGCAAAGGTGGAGGTCCAACTGGACCAACCCATACCAATCGGCTTTGAGTATCCACTGGGTTAGCTTCAAATACGAGAGGATTATGGACCTCTGCTATTTCTGCAGGAGATTAGGGCACTTGATCCATAACTGTCTTGACAGGGAGGACCACAGGAGGAGAGGGTTAAGCATCTACCCATCGGAAGTCTATACTGCAGCACTGAAGGCCTGCCATGACTCACCGGCGAACACGCAACCGGCATCGTTCAGGGAGAAGATGGCAAGATCTCAGCGACCAACCCTAACTGGTCACCCCACAGGCCTGATTCGTGGATCTCGAGGCGACACATCCCTACTGCACTTTGCAGGCCAAACTGGTCACAGCTCCTCCTCGAGCCCACCAGGATTGACTGCAATGGCTCTGCCACTGATAGGAACAGGCACAGAGTGGACCCAGAGAGGGGAAGTCATACTACCTACCACCAATTTTCAACCTACATTTCTGGAAAGGGAAATGGAAGCAACAGCTAAGGCAATGCAAAGGTCTCTCGACCTAGGGGAAGGAGGAAGAAACAGAGAAAAGGCAGCAGGCCTCTTCGAGATGGGCCGAACCCTTTCTTTGGCGAGCCCATTTTATTCTCTTGAGGCTAGCAGCATGTCAACACCAGGGAAGGCAACAACAGGCCTGATCCTAATACCACATGAACAGGCCCCCATCACAAGCTCAGGAAAAGAAATAGCAACTGGGGAGGAAGAGACCAGACCCAGGCCTGAAAAGAAAAGGAAACCAGACTGAGTCAGCCCAAGCTGTCCCATTCCGCAGTCGGAGAACTCGGCTAACATCTCTTTTGATCTTTTGGCTTTTGTTCCAGGTGAGAATAGGAAGACTTATTAGAGGAGGAAGCATATCACAAGGAGGATAAGTATTGCTGAATTGACTGCAGAAGGAAACCAATCCAGGGAAGGTGAATCGACCTCTCCGAGGGCAGCGCTGGCAAGCCTTGAGCCGCCAAACCATGAATGAGGATCCTTAGCTGGAACTGTAGGGGATTCGGCAAATCCCTTACAAGAAACTACTGTGGCAGGCTTTGCCGTCAGTTTGGCCCTTCATTACTCTTTCTAATGGAAACCAGGAAGGATGACCCTTTCATGGAGGATAAAAGGAGAGCAATGAAGTTCGATCCCGCCAAGTATGTTAGCCCAGCAGTTGAAGGTAGTGGACTTGCCTTGTGGTGGAAGGAGGACGTGGATTTCCGAGTTATCGATGCGTGTAAATCCTTTATGGATGTATGTATTAGTAGGGAAGGGGAGGAATTTTATTGTACTTTTGTCCATGCTCCCACCACGGCGGTGGAGAGGAGAGCCCTCTGGGATCGACTTACGATCATAAGAGACTCTCAAGATGTTAGTTGGCTGATTATCGGTGACCTTAATGTTGCCCTGTACCCCTTTGAAAAACAGGGGAGGTGCCCCCTGAGAAATGAAAACGTGGATCCCTTGAAGTACTTCATCTCGCAGAATGCCATGTTTGATCTTGGTTTCTCCGGACAAGTGTTTACTTGGTCCAATAACCAACAGGGGGCGGACCTGATTAGAGAAAGACTTGACAAGAGCCTGTGCTCAGCTCAGTGGAGACTCAAATTCAGAGCAGCCACTGTGTTCCACGAAGATTTTGTTGAATCAGATCACTGCGCGCTCAGAATCAATTTGCACCATAAATGCAAGATAGGGATACCCCCTTCCGTTTCGATAAGAGATGGAGGGAGAATGGGGAATTCACTCAGATTATCGATAATCTATGGAGGAGAGGGGACAGAGTGCATGCGACTCTTAATAACTGTCGCGAAGAACTTCAAAGATGGTCGAAAATGGAGAGAGCGAACAAAATCAAGAGAGAAAAGGAAATCAGAAGAAGACTACAAGAATTGAAAGGTCCGACGAGAAACTCTGAGATGATTGAGGAAGAAAATAATTTGCTGCAAGAATTGGACTCGGCTTGGAAATTGGAAGAAGAATTCTGGGCACAGAGGTCCAGAAACAGTTGGCTACAAGAAGGAGATCAAAACACAAGCTTCTTTCATGCTAGCACGATCAAAAGGAGAAACAGGAATCGTATTGAGAAACTTAAAGACGAATCAAGAAACTGGATGAATATCGACCAGAACCTTGAGGGGCACGTCAACGGCTTTTACACCAAACTGTTCACGAGCAGAGAAGGAACTTTTGACTCGACTCTTCTCAAAGATTTTCCATCTCTGGTGTCCCATGAGGACAACATGCTCTTGAATGCAAACATTGAGAAAGCAGAAATCCGAAAAGTGGTTTTTCAACTTGGAGCCAACAAAGCACCAGGCCCCGATGGCTTTCCAGGACATTTCTTTCGACAGTATTGGCACATCGTTGGGGACAGGTTCTGTGATGAAATCAACAACTTCTTCAGCACCAATATCATGCCACCCAATTGGAATGACACATACATCACCCTCATCCCTAAAGTTGAAGCCCCTAAGACCATTGGGCAGTTCAGGCCAATAAGTTGCTGTAACTTTCGATACAAGGTAATCACGAAGATTATGTCAAACAGACTTCAGCCACACCTGCCGAACCTAGTGAATGAGCTACAATCAGCTTTCACAGGGGGGAGACAGATTCAAGACAACATAGTGATTGTCCATGAAGTCCTGAAACACTTCAAGAAACACAAGTATGGACATCAAAAGAATATGATGATGAAACTCGACATGAGGAAGGCCTATGACTTAGTGGAATGGGAATTCTTAATTGAACTTTTGAAAGCCTACGGTTTCAGTGAGACTTGGTGTGGATGGGTAAGGACCTGCATTTACTCGGTGAAGTTCAAAATCCTTTTCAATGGAAGACCTTCAGAGGAGTTCATCCCCTCTAGGGGCATCCGCCAAGGAGACCCTCTTTCCCCTCTCATCTTTATCTTGATGTCCAATACTCTATCATTCCTGATAGAAAAAGTTGTCCAAAGAGGAGACATTCGAGGGTTGAAAATCAACAGATCCTGCCCTACTCTCACTCACTGTCTCTTTGCTGATGACACTGTTATCTTTGGTGAAGCATCAACCAGTGAAGCTGAGAAAATTCTTGGTATTCTTAATGACTATGGATCGATAACAGGACAGGAGGTCAACAGAGATAAGTCCTCATTCTTTTTCAGCCACAATGTCCCAGATGATGAAAAAGAAATGATCATTCAAACGGTTGGTTTCGCGGTTTCGAACTGCCATTCAAAATACATCGGTGTCCCAACATAATGGGGAAGATCTAAAAAAGAAACCTTCCATTTTCTCATTCAAAGAATGGAAAGCAAAGGGGAATCATGGAAAGAGTTTGCTTCTCTCACCAGGAGGTAAAAAAACACTTCTCAAGCCTGTCTTCCAAGCTTTACCTTCTTTCATTATGTGCCTTTTCCTCCTCCCACGATCCACCACCAATAAAATGGACTCCATGCTCAAAAACTTCTTCTGGGGAGGTAACATTTCTAAGCGATCTATACACTGGAGAGCGGGACACGTTCTATATGCTCCGAAGGAGGAAGGAGGGTTAGGTTTTAGACCCTTGCACATCTTCAATATGGCACTTCTTGCAAAACAAGCATGGTGAATCCTTACCTGCCCTGATGCACTGTGGGTGAAAGTGCTAAAAAGCATATACTTCCCAATGGTTGATTTTTGGGCATGGAGATTTTCAGAGGAAGGTACCTTCTCGGTCAAATCAGCTTTTCACCTTTTTCATAACCAAACCCGTGGCCATCAAGGAAATGTGAACCCTTTCCCAGAAGCAGCAAAAGAAAAATGGAAATGGCTTTGGAGCTTGTCTCTCCCTCCAAAGATGAAATTCTTCGTGTGGAGATGTGCAAAGAATGCTTTGGCCTCAAAGGAGAACCTTTTTGCGAGGAAATGCTCCCCCTCCAAGGCATGTCCTTTGTGCAACTCTCCGTCTGAGTCTATCCACCACTGCCTTTTCACTTGCCCCCATGCCGCGGCAGGACGTAATAGTGTCTGGCCTGGCCTGTGTTTCCCACCTCCTCTCACTAGCATTCTGGAATGGCTGGTCTCCCTCCAGTCTCGGCTTTCAGCTTGCTCCATTCAGCGGGTCATTTTCCAAATGTGGCAGACTTGGAAGTCCAGGAATGACCGAATCTTCTCAGGGATTATCCCTTGGCCACCCAGCACCACCTCCAGAGCCCAGATTGCGCATCAGCAATGGAACACCTGCCCCAGGAAGAATGGTGCTCTACCCCTACATGCTCAGCACATTCCACCCCTTGATCTATCCTCTCCACCGCCAAGTACTCATGACTTTGAGATACACTGTGACGGATCCTACTTCAGTGATTCCCAGGAGGCGGCTTATGGCGTCGTTGTGACGAATAGCCATGGACAGGTTTGTGATGGGAGAGCTGAGTCCCTGCATTGTTTTTCACCACTTGAAGTAGAAGCGAAGGCCCTCTTGGAAGGAGCACGCATGGCTGTGTCGCTTGCATCACCTTGCCTGATCCTTACTGATTGCCTCTCGCTCATTAAAGCCCTAGCCAACCCAAAGGAAATTTGGCCATGGCGAGCAGCAGGGTGGATCAACCACATCAAGAACCTTTCATCCAACCACCCAACTATCATATTCGACTTCATCAGCAGAAGAAGAAACTACAAAGCGAATTGGGTAGCGCGATCATGTGCAAAGAAACATCTTCCCACTGAATGGATTCATGTACTTGATGTAATTGCTCCTCTCTTGTAACAGCTGGCTTCTACCACAAGTAATGAAATACCTTTGCCCTTTGTAAAAAAAAAAGATATGGGTAGGGGGATTACTCTCTCTCTCTCTCTGTTTGTGTGTTTTCGTAGATGGGTCTCTCTCTCTCTAACCTAATTTCATGGATAGCTCTGTCATCTCTTTAATCAAGAAGATCCATCTATTTGTTTGAGGTTGATATCCACCCAGGTGGCTTCCCTCTTCCATCTTGTTTGCTTGGTAATATTGTGGCCGAGTATCTAAGGACTCTGGGTGATGTTGATGAATAGAAGGCTGATCAGGTGTTGCTTTTAGCCGAACACGTTCGTAGAGAAAGATTTTTCCTTCGACGTCCCCAAGAGGGGATACTAGGTAACCTATGGTATGATCTTATTTCCTTTTTCTTTTTCTCTTTGCAGCAATGAGTTAATCTCTCCATTTCATTCCTATTCCAGAAAACAGGTACTCAAGCTACATCCAGTTATTTGAAGTGGAGGTCTGTGCCTTGAGGTATTGATTTGTGGATTTAGTTCATTGATTTAGGCGATATGTGCACCTAATTGGAAAATAAAGTTTGAATCTTGAGGAAGTAACTGACTGGCTAACAAGAAGCTTCTCATTTCTTTTGCTTAATCATCGGATCGTCTGTTGGATCAAGGTGTTCTTTTGTAAGTAAATTTGCATGCAATGATACTTGCTCTGGTTTTTCCTTTTTGTTTTAGTGTCATTACTAATGTTTGCTATTTCGTCCTCTTCTTTTTGTGTTGAAGGCAAGTGTATAAATTAGGTATTACATACATGGTCAACCTCCTCTATTTCTTCAATGTAGTAATGTGCATGGTTTTCGATTTCTATGGATTTTGAAATAAAATAGCTTGTTGTGTTTGTAATGTCTTCTGTTTATGTTGTTAGATTAGGGTGGGAAGTGAGATTAGTTGCAAGCAAAATAAACAAAGCTGCTGAGTGAGCTTTGTTTTGCCAAAGATGTAAGGATTTTGCTTGGTGATATAATCGTCGTTGGGTTCTTTCATTATGGTCTGGGAATTTCAGCTGCTGTAAGGAGTTCCACAATTCTGGGTTGGGGCATGAATGAAGCATATAGTTAGTTAAGAGTACGTAATGCATTAACTAAATCCTGGTAACTATTGACTTTCAATTTTTGGTTGGCTTTTCTACAACTTGACTTTCCTTTTATTCTCTATATTTATGCTTTGCTAACTGTTGTTTGCAGTAGCGATGGTAAGTTACCGGCTGAGGCTAGGGATCTCTTGCAAACCCGGTGACCTTATAGAGGATTTCATTTACGAATATTAGCCATAGTCAAATGTATTTCTGTTTACAAAATATACACATGTATGCCAATGGAATCAAAATTTCTATTCATTTATTTGTTAATTTCGGTGTTGAGAGTGATTATTGAATTTTTATTTACCTAATATAATGATTATACCATGTTGCTGTTGAATTTTCTGCGGAACATAATAGTTTGTTGCACGTTGTTTATGTGTATACTAAATGCAGTTTGGAATAGAAAATTTTGGGTGGATAGCCCACGAGCTAATTAGGTCATTATTATCATGGGCAGAATACACGAACAACCAATGTGCAACAAATCGTGATGTTCAATTGATTTTGAATTATTAACTTTTCCTGTTAGATTGACTAATTAAATTTATGAACCCACATCCCGTCGCGAAGCGAGGGCATTAGAAACTAGTTCTATTATAGAAAGGGAAGTTGCCCACTTCCTACATTAGACGGTCTTTTCGTAATTATTAAATCCAATTTTAGGGGCAATCAAAGGAGAAATCAATCCAACTTACCTTTGGTGGCTAACGGAGAATCGGGAAGAGGAAACGTCAAAAAAGGAAAATCAGAGGCAATCAAAGGAGCCAGTGGCGTAGAAAAGAAAGGAAAAAAGGAAGCTCGGGAGGATCCAAGAAAGACCCAGCAATCTTTGCAAAAGGGGAAAGCAGGGGCTATTGAAGGCAATCTTGTCAATGGGAAGAAAAAGAACAACGACTCCCAGGAATGGAGAGTTGTGGACTCTAATGGAAAAAAAGGGAACTTGGGCCAGCCCATGGAAGATCACTTATCAGCTATGGCCCAATCGTCAACCTCAGAGCCGGCCTTCAAAACCTTGGATCCTGTAGAGGGCCCAAATAACACCACAATTCGCATTATCTCTGTCATGCCACCTTCTGCCTCTCAGAAAGAAAATCTTGACCCAAATTCAACATCCCTATCCGCCCGCCAACGGTCGCAGAAAAAGAAAACAGAGGAAGGGAAGAAGCCAGCTCAGAGCAAGGGTATCAACCTCAAAGTCACCAAGAAACCTCTGCAACTGAGTTCAGCGAGCAACAAGGGAGTTTCTATCAAGTCCAAGGAAGCATCTTTTCCGATCACCCTAAAAGCCATTGAGGAATTCTTTGCTCACTCACAAAACAAGGAGAATGAATTTCAGCAGCTTCTTGCGGGGAAAGGAGCCGATGTGGTCATGGGTGATTCCCACCTGGAAACAATGGCGAACGCTACGACAGCTGCCAGCAGCGCTATGGATTCGGCAACTCTCAGCAGGGCTATCTCATGATTTTGCTAGCAATCCTTTGTTTGCCTTTGTTTTTTCTTTTTCTTTCGATTCATCTTATTATGTCTAGTCAAACTAATTTACACATCCTAGCTTGGAATGTTTGTGGTGCAGGTAGTAAGGACTTTCGACGTGTCATCAAGTTGTTAGTTCAAACTTACAAGCCCCAATTCCTTCTCCTTTTTGAACCTCAGATTAGTGGCGATCGGGCCAACCGTGTCTGTGGAAACTTAGGTTTTGGGGAAGTTGTGCGCATTGAGGCAGATGGCCGTAGTGGAGGAATTTGGCTGGCTTGGAAATCAGATGAGTTCAAAGTCCAAGTCATTGATGCCAGTTTTCAACACATTACGGTTAAAGTTACTGATAACACTCAAAAGGAGTGGCTGCTTACTGGTGTTTATGGAAGTCCTCACTATAACTTTCACAGGCAGTTGTGGGATAGTCTCATTCAAACCAGCAACAATTGCAATCTCCCCTGGATTGTCACTGGTGACTTTAATGCCTACCGACTTCCCTCGGAAAAATCAGGATCGATTTCTGCTGCTGCCTTGAAGCGCTGTCAACAATTTTCTAATTGGATTGATTCTGCTAATCTCATTGATTTGGGTTTTTCAGGGGCTAAGTTTACTTGGGCCAGAGGTGACACGAGACTCACTCGCAAAGCCAGTCGGATTGATAGATCCCTATGCAATGCTGAGTGGAATCAGGTGTTCCCCAATACTCTGGTTCAACACCTCCCAAAACTCCATTCTGATCATTTACCTATTCTTACTTCTTGTGTTGATCACGGTTGCAGGGCCCTAAGTGCGAAGCCGTTCAGGTTCGAAGCTGCTTGGTTGATGCATCAACAGTTCCACAACTTCTTTGCAGGGGCTTGGAAAGAGGAAGCCAACTTGCAGCAATCCTTAGACAACATTATACCTAAGCTGCAGGATTGGAACAAAGATGTGTTTGGCATAATCTCCCATAGGAAAAAGAGACTCCTGGCCAGGCTGAGGGGTATCCAAATTCAGCTTGCAAACAACTTCAGTCCGAGGATCCTCAAATTACAAGCTAAACTAGAGGCTGATATGGATGCTCTGCTTGCTCAAGAAGAAGTGGTTTGGTATCAAAGAGCTAAAGAGAAATGGGTCACTTTAGGAGAACAAAACACCTCCTACTTCCATCAACAAGCAACGAGGCGTCGTAGACGTAACAGGATCATGATGCTAAAGGATAGCTCTGGTGAATGGATAAATGACCCAATCAAGCTCGAGGACATGGTGTTGTCTTTCTATAGAAATGTGTACACCCAAGAAGATTCGAACAACATTGACAAGATGCCTAAAGGCTGCTTTCCAAGAAGCAATCAGGGAGATCTTCTTCAACTCCTTCGCCCCTTCACTATTTTAGACATACACCAATCTATTTTTGGCATGAAACCGTTCTCAGCTCCTAGGCCGGATGGTTTTCAAGCTGTTTTCTATCAAAAGTTGTGGAAATTTGTTGGTAAGGGTATGGCTAACTTAGCTTCTGCTTTCTTTGAAACAGGACAACTCCCTGCTGGAATTTTTGACTCTCACCTGGTGATGATTCCCAAGGTTGAACTTCCTGATTCCCCTGCTCAGTTGAGGCCCATATGCTTAAATAATGTTAGTCTGAAAGCTATCACGAAAGCTATGGCGAACCGTCTGAAACCGTTGATGAGAAAGCTCATTGCCCCTACTCAAAGCGGCTTCATACCTAAGAGACAGACTACAGATAATATTGTCATTCTTCAGGAGGTGCTACATTCACTGAGAATGAAGAAAGGCAAAAAAGGGGGGGTGGTGATCAAGGTCGATCTTGAAAAAGCTTATGACAGGCTCAGGTGGGATTTCATTCGGGATACCTTGATTGAGGTTGGTCTCCCGAGTACGTGGATAAGCAGAATCATGATGTGTGTGGAAGAAAACAGGATGAGGATAAATTGGAATGGCAAGCTCACCGAGCCAATCTTGCCTTCTCGGGGTGTTCGTCAGGGTGACCCACTGTCACCGTACCTCTTTGTACTATGTATGGAGAGGCTTGCTCATAGGATCGAAGTAGCGGTCAATGATAAGCAGTGGAAACCTCTTTCCATCACTCCCAATGGTTTGAAATTGTCACATTTGTTTTTCGCAGATGATTTAATCCTTTTTGCAGAAGCAAGTGGCAAGCAAATCGACATCATCCGTCAATGTCTTGATGATTTCTGTGCAAGCTCAGGACAGAAGGTCAACTTGAACAAGTCAGCCTTATTCGTCTCCCCAAATATAGCTCGGACCAAAGCTGAACAATTGAGTACTCGAGCCAATATTCCTCTCACGACGGACCTCGGCAGATATTTGGGGCTCAATGCTATCCATGGTAGGATCACTAAGACCAGATACAAAGAACTCTGTCTTAAGATTCAAAAGAAGCTGGCCTCGTGGAAAACAGGTTACCTCTCCCTGGCTTCTCGCCTAACCATGGTGAGATCTATCTCTTCTTCAATGGCTGTTTACCCTATGTTCTCCGAGAAACTTCCAAGTTCTGTTTGCAGCCTGTTAGACAAGATAAACAGAAAGTTCGTTTGGGGAGAAGAGGAAGGCCACTCTAAATTTCACTCAGTTGGCTGGGAAACCATGACGACACCAAAAGCTATGGGAGGAGCTGGCATCAGGCCCACTAAGCAAGCCAATCTAGCTATGCTATCAAAAGGAGGATGGAAGTTAGTAACCAGGGAGGACACTCTTTGGACAAAGCTTCTTCTAGAAAAATATGGTGGCAGCAGGGAAGGCCTGGACATCATCAGAAAGAAAAAGGGAAGTTCTTTAGCTTGGAAAAGTTTTACTGCTACCTACAACACTCTTAAGAAAGGTTTTGCCATTAATATTAAGGATGGTAAGCAGACTTACTTTTGGTTGGATCCGTGGCTAATGCAGGTACCCTTGATAGAACATGCCTCTGCAGAGCTGACAGAGGAGATGAAGCAGCGACGTGTTGCAGAATTGTGGGAGTATGATCGTGGATGGAGGCTGGAAGAATCCCAACATCTTCTTCCACCACAAATCGTCGACAGGATCAGAGCTATTTTGATCGACCCGCTGGCGGTGGGAGGTGATAAAATCATTTGGAATCTCACCTCCAATGGTCACTTTTCAGTCAATTCAGCTTTCAAAGCAGAGCAATCTTCTCAATCCCTTCAGAACGATCCGATTTGGAAGAAAATCTGGAGGCTTCATGTGCCAGAACGAGTTCGGGTATTTGTTTGGATGGCAATGCTAGGCAAGTTGACTACAAATCAGATCAGAAAAGACAGACACTTGACTGACAACAACTCGTGTCCTGAATGTGAAGGTATTTCGGAAACAATTGTACATTGTCTCAGGGACTACAGGAAAGCCAAGGCGGTTTGGAATAAAATCCTGGATGCTAATAGAAGGGCAGCTTTTTTCAATGCTGGCCACCAAGATTGGATGAAATCCAATATACTAGATGTTTCTACCGGGAATTGGACGGGAGAATGGGGAAGTTTCTACAGCCTAGTTATATGGTATCTATGGAAGTGTAGAAACGATGGGATTTTCAAGGGCATCAAGTTGTCATCTTCCACTCTTCACCATTATGTTACAGCCAAGCCAACGATTGGGCTCGGACTTGGATTGATGCCAGGAAATCTTTGGCTATGGTAGAAGGAGGTAACAGGACAGAGGCTTTGATTGGTTGGAAGAAACCCCCTATTGGCTGGCATAAAATGAATACGGACGGCGCGAATCAAAGCAATATGGGCATGGCCACGGCGGGCGGAGTTCTTCGGGACCATAATGGCACTTGGCTAGCCGGTTTTTGCAGCAAAATCGGCACAGGAACTGCTTTGTTGGCAGAGCTATGGGGGGTGCTGCAGGGCTTAGAGCTTGCTTGGAAGAAAGGATCTCGTTTTCTCGTCCTGGAAACAGACTCTCAAATGGCTCTTCAGTTGATCGAACAAAGAAGAGATGAGGTTCACCCATATGCTACTATCTTGGGCGCTATTCGTAGGCTTCTTAGTCAAGATTGGATGGTGCGTCTAGTTCATACATATCGCGAAGGGAATAGAGTCGCGGACTGGCTCTCGAAGCACAGTCTCGTCTATCCCTTCGGTATGTATGAGCTTGAGGCTCCTCCTTTGGAACTGAATAAGATATGTTATGAAGATGAAGCCGGTACCAGCTTCCCTAGAATGGTTAGGCTGGACAATGAGACTTGATTAGCGCTCTCTTTGCTTTTGTTTCTCGGCCTGGTTCTGCCTAGCTGGGAGAATTAGTGTTCTGTTTGTTTTCTTCCTGGCACTTGCTGCCTCCATTTTCTCAACAAAAAAAAACATAATAGTTTGTTGCACGTTGTTTATGTGTATACTAAATGCAGTTTGGAATAGAAAATTTTGGGTGGATAGCCCACGAGCTAATTAGGTCATTATTATCATGGGCAGAATACACGAACAACCAATGTGCAACAAATCGTGATGTTCAATTGATTTTGAATTATTAACTTTTCCTGTTAGATTGACTAATTAAATTTATGAACCCACATCCCGTCGCGAAGCGAGGGCATTAGAAACTAGTTCTATTATAGAAAGGGAAGTTGCCCATTTCCTACATTAGACGGTCTTTTCGTAATTATTAAATCCAATTTTAGGGGCAATTGCTCTTGCTGGTGGGTCCCACTTAAGCCCACTCCCTCTTTTCCATCTCTCATGCTATTGCAAGAAGATTAGAGAACGAAGAGAAGAAGGGAAAGAGGAGAAGAAGAAGTTATGTGGATCCACACGAAAGTCCCACCAATTTATTTCTTTGTTTCTATTTTTTGTTGTTATGGTGCTCAAATCGATCTTTTTGTTCTATTATAAAAAGGGAAGTTGCCCATTTAGCATTTACTATTCATTAGACGGTCTTTTCGTAATTAAATCCAATTCTAGGGGCAATTGCTCTTCCTGGTGGATCCCACTTAAGCCCACTCCCTCTTTTCCATCTCTCATGCTATTG